CTTAAGTTTCTCCGCTTACAAAAGATCGGAACTTTGCGAAACTCGGAAATTACTAAGATATTACTACGAGTTGTCGCTCTCCAACTTTAAATTATGAAAATCGTGACCTTTGCATTCCGCATTGTTGCAACGGCAACAAATATTTAATTTTCTTGTCAAAGAATTTGTCGCAAAGAATACACTTTAGGTTTTCTTTACTTGAAAATTTTACATTGTTGCGAAGACACACTTTATCAATTGTGAAACTTTAATCTGTGCATTTATGCAAAATTTAAGAAGAAATCTGTTCATCGAATTTTAGAATAGGTATATATACGTTAACCGTGTAAAATCGGAAACGAAAGATAATTTTGATGATGGTACTTTCTCTTCGGTAGACGTAGTTTCGTCCATTTTTCCGTGAATCTTTTTGTTGATCCTTTAAGGTAAGCCGAGGAGGGAAAGAGGCAAATAAATGGCTCGGAGTTTTGGGGCGAATGGCGAATAAATCCTTGCCTTGGGAATGACACGTCTCTATTATTCACGCTGGACTAAAAGCTTCTCGAACAGTACAGAATTTGCGAGCGTTTCCCCGCCTGATGACATTATCCGTCTTCCGTGGTTTGCATAATTTGTCGGATTTATCTCGCATAACTTCACGCGCGTTCCTTCATGCAGTGATTTTGTGTGCGCCTAATCTGATTTGCGTTCAGGTTTATCTCATATACAGAAAATACATATTGCATATATAACTAGGAAACAACCGTAAAAGATTTATTTCGTTCGCGATATTCTCTCATATTCGATTTATCTCTTAGTACAATTTTTATAAAGATCTGTAATATGAATTAATTTATTAATGGAAAATTACGAAAGGAAAAATATCAGTTTCTCTCGTGAGCACGGAATTAAAGGAAGGATATATTTGTACGATAATTTGTTACGCTAGATATTTTTTATTAATATTTTTTATGAAATAATAACAATATATATTTTTTTTTAAGTTTTTTCCCACACTTATCTAAATTGCTCGTAGTAAATTATGAATGTTGTAACCGCAATTACGCTAACAATCATCTCTCTCTATTCTTTTATTCACATTTACATTTTAGACTTCGCGTTTATACTTTTGCTTGTAGGTAGATTTTTGTGCTCTAGCGAGCGGAAATTACATTAGAGTGGAGGAAGCTACGAAGAAAATACATTTACGTTAATACAAAGTTTGTGTAGGGCACGTTTCGCTTGAATTTGTTCAATGCTTTCGCCTTTGTGTCAACAAACTTGTCGGCCGAGGCAACGAGCGATGCTGTACCGAAAGTTGCGGGAATAAATGTTCGCATCAATTGACATCTGAGGGTACTTCGTGTATTTCTGCCGTGGACGTAGCACGCTGACGGAATATCAAGCAATTCGTTTGGATACCGATTCTCATCGCAGAGACGAATAGAAGTGTAGCTAACGAGGGTGACTCGGGAAATTTCTTCATTTCGCGGACGGAGCTTGAAAAAATTTAATTTTCTAGTTTCCCGTAGCGAGATTTGCCTGATCTAGAACAGAGATTTCGCATCGTACATGAATTAAACACGAGCGCTTTTTTAAAAATTACGAATAATCAGGTTAATAAAAATAAATCTTTTTAAGGATTCTTTTCTCGTTTTAAGGACTCTTTTCAATTAACATTTAGGTAAATATTGCATTACTAATGGTGTACTACATATTTACAGATTATCCTAAAATAATAACTTTTGCAACCTAAATTTTTTTTGTGATAAAACGTACGAATTTTAATCTTTCGTTTTGATTAAACAGAAGTAGAAGATTAATAAAAGTATGTAAATTTAATAAACATTAATTTTTTTAAATTATACAATAGTATACAATAGAGAATAATGCGCAGATCAAAGGACATAATCATTAATCGTGAATACTGTGAAAATATTTTTTAATTTCTGTTATTTTATAAATCTTCTTTCTAATTTTTATATTTTTAACGTTATATGTTTGTATTTTGTCAATTTGAAGACTTAAAAATGAGAAACAAAATTATCTTGACGACAATGCAATTGTCATGCTTTTCCACCGATGTGCGAATACATTGGAATCTTGGGAAGAATAATGCTCTCGAATATCTGGTGCCAATATTCGCAAAATCAAGAGAAGAAATATGCCGACGCGATTTCGATTATTTCGTGCTACGAGCGTCGTTCATCAAATTGGAATAATTTCGTTGAATTGAGAGCGACTGGTTTCCAATCGCGAAAAACGACAGAAAGCAGACACTCATTTCCTTTGACATGTCACGCGAAATACCTCGTTAGGAGAAAACAGTAGAATGAATTTTTTTGATTTCTAAACGATATCGTATGCTTTGATAAATTTTCATCTACTATTATTGCAAAAGTTTCCATATTAATGAAATAAATAAAAGATATAAATAAGAATAATAAGATATATAACAAATAAACAAGAAGAGGAATATATTTTTATAATTTAGTAATTAATATGTGTGCACTTTAAATTTAGATATATTTCTTTAGAAAATTATAATTTTGTAATAATAAATTAATAATAAATATTAAATATTAATATACATTATATATAAATTATATATATTTTATAATTTTAAAAAGCTTTAGAACATTGCCAACGTTATAGCTTCTCTTTTTAAGTAAATAGAAAGGCATCGCGAAATAAAAAAATAATTAAATTGTTGAGCAGAAAATGAAAGAGATAAATGGAGAAAGAAATTGTCGAAATTTTTTTGAGAATAATCGTCAGTAGCATATATAGCTAAAGAGAAGAGCCGGCGGATATATTCGTGGACGGTTTATGTCGTACGAGGGTTGGTGGCTCGTTCTGCTCCCACCCTGTTAAATTTCCGTCCGCCATCGCGTCAGAAAGGCCGCTGTCGCCTCTTTTGTACGCGTAGATTGGGGCAGGAAAAAAAAGTTTCAATCTTCCGCGAAACAAGCTTTCGCCAACGTCATAAAAGTGCGACCGGCACTACATTGACGCGTTCTCGTTGCGACTTGTAATCCAGCGATGATGTACTGGCTGATGGCGTAATAAACCTTTCCTTGAATAATAACATTTAATTTAAAATATATGCAATATTATATGGAATAATTAAAACAGGGAGAAAAAGAGAAAGATCGGGAATTATGAAAACAAAATGAATATATTTGAATGAGATACATTACATTAATTTTTTGATCACGAAAAATAAATCGGTTTATAATAAAATTTAATATGTAACGTAATTACAATCATTGAAGATTGGCATTACAACGTTGCAATGTTTAAATTTTCGGAGAATCGCGCGAAAGTTAATCTGTGCATTTCAATTAAATATATACGGCTGGTTTAAATGTATTTATTTTTTTTGTTTATCGCTTTTGTAATTGCGCAAGTTTATATGCTGAAAAGCGAATGGATTACTTGTAAAATGATGGCTTTATATGTTCCCCCATATATTCCCCATATATTTCGCAAGTTACTCGGAGCAGCAGCTGCGTCTGACCGTCCACGGTGCGCATTCACTTGCCGGTCGTTAGTAGTGCAGGCATGATAAGGTCGGCCATTTGGCTGACCATTTTCAGATATTACCACTTGCAGCTTCCGCCGGTTCCCGACTTAACATGAACGATCATATTCCTGGCTTACGTACAATGGCCGTTTACACGTACTCTATAAATCATTGTTTACAACCCCGTGCGAGATTGGATGTACTTTGGCAATAATTCGACATCTTAGATGACGGCTGGATTACACAGGATATGAAAACCTTACGTTGGAGTATTATAAAATGACGTATATTTTGTTTGTTCACCGGGGTGACAATCAAAGCTTCCAGCTTTACATGAAATGGAATAGGTAGTTTCCTGTGTAAAAGTTTCATGGTTAATAATAGGAAAAATGTGTGCGTTACTGCATAATTTATTATTATGTCGACGCAAGAGAATTGTTAACACGAAACAGTTGGCGGTGATTTACCATTTCATCGATACAATCAGTCGTAGCACCACGCAATGGTAGCATTATACATTATGCATTATACATTATTATTCGTTGCATCGAGTGAGAAGATAGTAAAATTCCTTTCCTTTAGATACATACATGATAGTGATTAGTTCTACGTGCCACGCATAAGGAATTATATATTTTAATAATAATGCACTTTATCATTTTGAATTTTGTGTGACGTACGAAGTGACGTAAGTCGTTCTCGTTTCACACGTTAATACCGATTGCTATTGCTATCGTTATGTAATGGCGTTTATCGTACGCGAGTTATCGTCGCGGATATTTTCTGGAAAATATCTTAAAAGCTTAACAATTTTTCTTGCTTCGCTAATTACATTGCGCGCGCAGTTGTTTATCGTAAATGAAGCAGCGTTTCATCATCTCGCGAGCGTAGTCATTACTTCGTCTCGCGACGTCTACTGTGTCGCCGTGCATATTATGTCAGCATACATTACAGTAACTCTACACACACGCCAAAATATCGCGAGCTAAAGTTTGTAGCTGCATCGCCAAGTTGTTTGCGCCATTTATTAGTCTCGACGGTCCTCTGCTTCTGCTTTTTATTGATTTACTTGCCGTTGTCCCGCATCGGGTTACTTCTGCCTACTTCGCTTATTTATTTTTCGGAAATGCTTTTCTTACCTTTTTAATAATTGTTCTTCGAATTGTATGTTGTTGATGAGCTTTCCAGCTGGAAGGTTCTCGAAATGTATATATATATATATATATATATATATATATATATATATATATATATATAT